CATGTTCACCCTACTGAGACCAGTTGTTATGGTGGAAACTTTGGCCGCTTTGCGGGACGGGAAAATATCAGATCGGAATGAAATTTTGCACAGAACCTTGTACCATAGTATCGACAAGAATTCCGACCCGGCCCGACGAATCCGACAAACTTTTTTTTTTGCCATGAAAATGTGGACCACCCTAGTGTGCATATTATTATTATAGAAGTTTGTGTTAGTGTACACTGCACCCTAAGCATCCTAATAGTTTCAATTTCACAAAAAAGTATTTAAAAAATAAAAAATCAGGTCACCGGCATGACTAGAAGTGGTTAGCCCGCAGTAGTCTGCAATTGCATCTTGAAATCAGAGCTGTTGCGATATATCGTTTTCAAAAAAAGTTCTCATTTCAAGTTTATTTCTGTAATTCACCGATGGCACTGACAAAGAATGGAAATCTGGAGTGTCAGGAGAAACATTTTAAAACGGTACATGTGAGCAACAATAATGATGTTCACGCACTTAACACGCAGCAAAAGTCTCTGCGTCAGGTGTGTACTAAGGTAGAAAGTGATTTCCTTTTCTCAAATTCTTGTATCCACTTTACTTTTGTTTTATTTATGTTAGGGGTCGCTATCGCTGTTGCTCATCGTGGCATGTGTGTGCGCGTGTATGTGTGCATGTGTGGTAATGGGTCAATCGCGGGAGGTTGGGTGGTTGCTCGAAAAGTAGATCTTTGTTCAGAAAAGGTTGCACATCCCTGATTTAGAAGGTTCCAAATAAGCAAATTGATAAGTGTGAGCACCTTTTAAAGATTCAATGAGTTAAGCACTATTAACTAACAGTGTTCCAGAAGAAAAAACTTTGAGATAAAAAGCTGCACTGTATGTGGCAGTGTATCTTAACTGTTAAAAAAAGGATCATTTTATTAGAAACTATGCAGGATGTAAAATAAACACACAAACATTCTTATTTATAATCTTTAACTTTCTTAAGAAACAGATTTTCAATGAAAATATCAATTATGAATAACAAAGTGGCGTTTCAATCACTTAGGGTGCAGTCCAGTGTTCTCTGTTTTGGAACAAGATATTTGACAGCCCACGCCAGCAGAGATTTTGCTACTTGAAACTTGCTAAAGTCGTGAAGATTCTGCCCAGACACCATGTAAGTGTATGAGAACGGCTCTCCACCAGCGTGAACAGTCAGAGTTTTTCTTTTTTCAGCACTCAAAGTTTCAACGTGAATGCCGCCTTCATCAGTGCCAGAGGCCATGACCTGAGCCTCATCTTCCTCCACTGCAACTGTCGTTTGCGCTTCTTGCGCACACTCAAGATTCAGTTTTCTTTTTGCCTTTCTGTGTTGTCTCCCGATATTTTCTTGTTGCGCATCTACATTCCCAATCAAGGACTGCTCTTCTTCGGGAGCGGTGTGACTAGTTGGTGTTCCTGTGTTACAATTGCCAGATGAGAATGGCGGTTTTTGATACGGCGGAAATGAGTCATGGTCCTCTTTGCTGTGGTGTAAATCCTCAGATTGTGTGCTCGTTATGGGTAGTTGGGTACTGGTTATGCTCAGATGACAGTTTTGTTGGTGGGACTGCATAGACTGTATTGGAATGGCTTCCTGGGACATGCCCAAGAAAGAAAAACCATTAGGTGGAGGAAACATTTCCCATGGTTTCTCTAATGGTGTGATGTCCTTATTGGTCAACTTGACACATACATTGTCAGGATCGGTGATGTTATCTCCACAGTTTTGGACTTCTCCCGCTCCCTCCGGAAGCTTTGCAGTTTGCCAGTCCACAGGATCAACAGAGGATCGGGTACACGGCGAAGGCTGCAAATTCAACATCATGTCCCCATCGGTTGTCGATATGTTGGCGCTTTCTTTTTGTCCATGCATGGCATGTCCTTCTGGGATGAGGAGACATGTGATCGGAATGCTGAAACATCCCGTGTCATTTTCCCGTTCGATGTCCCAGCTTGTGGGACTGAACATGTCTGATTCAATCACTGTTGGGTGGCCATTAAATGAGGAAACCCCCAGAATTGCCAACCTAAACATCATCAGTCTCTCCTGCACATCCTGAAGCACGGTTTGAAAACTGTCATCCTGCCACTCCCCAAGCAGCTCAGACAGATTAAAGTCATTTAGATTCGCTAGAGAGTCCTGCGTTTCCTGGACCATAATTGCCCTCCATGTCTCATAGATTTTCTGTTGCACAGAACGCAAAGTGGTGCAGCATGGGGTGCGGGGTTTGGTTGGGCCAACTGAAATTACTGTAATCCTTCCAGCTGACAAGAAGAACTTGGATCTAGTCGGGTCCGTGGCAGTGTGAAACTTCAGTCCGTGGCCTGCGACGTAAACGGTACAATTGATCAGATTACTGAAATTTTCAATCTCATCCCTTTGAAGATACTCCACGGCAGTTGGGGTGAGAAAGGTGGGGATCTGCACTACGCCATCAGATAGAAAGATCAGATTTGGGGGGCCTTCTGTGAGCCGAGCTTCAGAATTTGACATCTGACCCACAGCTGTAACATAAGCCCTCGGCGTCCTGCAATCACTGGTCCCCTCCTCACTGCCATAACTCTGGATGAGACGCTCAATCCACGGAGCCAGTACGTCCCTTTTACGGCGGAACATGTTTGAGGATTCAATTTTTTTTTTTTTTTTACTACTATTCCGTTAGGCAATCACTGAAGACATTCAGACGTTCCATCAGACTATCTATGAAACAAAAACAATAACACAGACTATTAGCACTACACAATACATACACATACACATGTAATAATGTGTCGCTATCGTTTCACGTTAAATACAATATTTATAATACAATACAATATAAATATAATACAATATAATACAATACAATATTTATACAGTATTTGAATTACGATCGTGTAAGCGGTTAAACAACAAGCAGTTTTACTTAGATACGGCTCCTTAATTTATTTTAACAGAGGTATATTATATTATTTAAGTCGCATTACTTTTGCTTACTTTCTCGAATTCCAGTTGTTGCTGCAGGCTCGGTGAGATGGGAGCAATGGAGCATACACACACCGGAAGCATTTGTCATGCTCGTGTGACGCTAACATTATGGCTTCGTTCCATTTTGCTTCATGTCGTCTTTGCATACACACTTTGGAATATGAACATTATACAGTACTGCGTCCTAGAATCGTTTTATCTTCTTACGAAAATTATATAAACTATATTTCAGCACTGTGATTATTTATAACTGCCAAAAGTGCTAATTTGGAATGCAAACAACAAACTAAAACTACCTATAGCTTATTTGAACGCTACTCACATACGTATTTCCGTCACGCAGATGGTGTGTTCAAGTACAGTGAAAAGTCTGTCCTAACAATATTTTAAAATTACGAAGACCGATTTGTTTTCGGTTGTTCAGGAATCTTTTAGAAAGATTATCTTACTGAATATAGAAAATTTATATTTTCACTGTCAAATCAAATCTACACTGGTTAAGTTTTTGAAAGATTATGAATAATACAATTTTCCATTGGCTTCAAATGCAACACAAGCCCTGTCTTGATTTTCTCAAAACAGTGTGATGTGTGCGGTCTAAAATGTAGTTGGGTTATTCGCACAGACTGCACCCATTATAAAGAGTGACGCGTTTTTTCCATCTCAAGGTACGGCATATCTCTCTTACACTTTTGATTCGTTCATAAATGACATTGCAAGTTTTGAACAATTGTAAACCTACATCAAGTAATAGCGGAATACAGTATATTCATATTAATCACACAGTTATTGACCTTTTCTGCGAGCACTTTCGTGTGCACTATATTGCTAACTAAAATGTGTCATTTTGGGGAAAGATCACAATAAAATAAACCTTCTGCTAGCCGAGTCTTTGACCAACAAATGGGCTAAAATCCATTTGGGCACCTGGTAGTTTGTGTGTTACCCTCTGTTAATCTCACATGCCATTCGTCTTTCTCGTTGACATATTGTACTGATTCGCCATCTTGCGTATATTTCCAGTATGCGTGGTATACAATAATCGCTGTCTATTAAACCGGTTTTTGTGAGTCATGTTGGCTTCCTACACAGGACAGTCGAGATAATGTGCTCTCTACTCTCCCCTGTGGCGTGTCGTTGTAAATTCGGATTGTTTTCTTGTTTTGTTTCGTTTTTTTTTTTTAGGGCGACGTTAACGTAGTTATGTTTGTCTTTTTGCATGGCTCCACGTTTTATTAAAATAAAGGATATTTTAAAAAATAATAAAATTTAGACGACAAATACTTTATAATGCGTCTTAATAGCATGTCTGTGACATAATTGTCAACTTACACCAAGAAGCAAGAATTGTATCACAATTTACACACCATATTCTTGTCTTGCTGAAATCAGCCCTATGTAAACCTATGCAAATAATGCAAAGATGTGCTAGCACTGATACTGCAGCTCTGCTTAACCTTTGGCTTTGAAATGATAGTGTTTCGGCTACTATTTAAAAGTGTCTCTTTTCACTCTGGCCAGCATTGCTGCCAAGTTATTGGCTGAGAAGTTGTGGGGGTGGTGATTATTTGAGCTACTTATAGTGAGGCAGACACACCTGACAATTCGCTAGTAGAAACATTCAGAATTTGGCAGATAATATAGGACAGTGGTTCACCCAACCAGTTCATATGCACGTTCACCGAACCCCTCATTACAAATCCAAGACATAAAAAAAAACACATTTATTAAAAACAGAAAAAAGTCAATAAAATTACAAGGCAAAAGTATAGTTTTAAAAAATTGTATAACGTACAATCACGACAGTCACATGGTGACTACTGAGCGAACTAAATTTCCCGCAGCACTGATTGGACAAGCAATGTAATGTGATTATCTGCAGCTAGTGATGGCCAGGCGGGCGTGTCATAACTAATTGGCATGTTAAGTCGCTTTATGTCTTAACCTCCATGGCAGAGGCTCCATCGAACCTCTGAGACCAATTCACTGAACCCCTGGGGTTCGATCGAACCCATGTTAAGAACCACTGATATAGGATGTACTTAATCTTTTAATTTCATACCTGAAGCGTGTGCATAATATGTCCCATTTTTTATTCAATGTCTTTAATCTGATTGGTTCCAACCTTTTTTTTGTGTTTGTTTTTTTTGTCATTGAGCTATTTTTTCACAATACTGATCCGCAAACTGTCATTAGTGATCAGGATTTAAGAGCACACAACCAGACTTCTCCAAGTCCAGACATGCCAGATTCTGCATCGAGCGATCCTGGTTCAAAGGTATTTGACCCTCAACATTCCCAGAACCTCCTCAGAGTTCTTCGCACGTTCTGGCAAGAGCAAAGCTTCCATGATGCACTGCTGGTAGTGGACGGTGAGGAGCTTCCTGTTCAGAAAAACATCCTGGCTGCAGCCAGCCCTTATATTAGGTGAGACAATATGACTGAGACATTTTAGCTTCATTCCCCTCATGGTTGCACTCATGGTAAATATTTCAATGTGGCAATAAAGTACGAGGGCCAATGGGCTGCTCATGTTCATGATTCAATTCTAGGACCAAACTGAACTACAATCCTCCAAAAGAAGATGGGTCAACATACAGGATTGAGCTACAGGGGGTCTCCATGCCCATTATGAAACAGATTCTGGACTTCATCTTCAGTGGTGAAGTGAGTGCAGATGCTTTCAGAAGCATCTTAGATTTCAGGCGTGGTTCCTATTGTTTCAGTTTGTACGACATCACCTTGTCTGTTGTTTATGTACGGTACTTGTGTTTTAACGTCTGACTGACCTTTCCATACAGATCACTTTAAGTGAAGGCACCATCCAGGACATGGTACAAGCATCTGACCTGCTCCTCATGACTGAGCTCAAGTTGCTGTGTTGCCAGTTCCTCGAAAGCTGCATCACAGCAGAGAACTGTATCGGCATTCGTCTTTTTTCCCTCCATTACTGCCTACATCATGTCCACTACACTGCCACAGAGTACTTGCACACGCATTTCCGTGACGTGGCGCTCACAGAGGAGTTCAGGGAGTTGTCTCATGACCGACTGTGCGAGGTGCTGGCTGAGGAGAAGCTTAACATCGGTAATGAGAAGCATGTGCTGGAGGCTGTGGTGCGATGGTTAAGCCACGATCCAGACGCTCGCAGGGTATGTGCTCACCGATGTTGGACCTTGCTCACCATCGGTTTCTAGTTAATCCAGAACACTTTTGACAGGTTTGAGGTCAGGCTTCCGTGCAACTTAGTCCACTCCACGCACAGTTACAGTCGACATCAAAAGGCTGTCCCTAAACGGTTCCCACATATTTTATGGCATACAATTGAACATCGGTGGTCCAGTGGTTAGCGCGTCGACCTCACAGTACAGAGGTACCGGGTTCAATTCCAGCTCCGACCTCCCAGTGTGGAGTTTGCATGTTCTCCCCGTGCCTGTGTGAGTTTTCTCAGGGTTTTTTCAGGGTAATCCAGCACCCCCCGCGACCCTTGTGAGGATAAGCAGATCGGAAAATGGATGGATGGATACAATTGACCATCATGTGTTTGTAGAGAATTAAGATGCAGGCAGTATATAGTCCAGCTTCTGTTTGATTAATTAATTACTATGTTCTTGAAGTTGTTTTTATTGTTTATTATTGATTCAATTCAGATGTCCAGCCTTTTTTTTTTTCTTTTTTTTTTTAATGACCAAATACTACCAAGGCTGGATTTATATGCACATCTTTAATATGGCTACTTTCACATTCACAGGACACATGAACTTTCCCATGCACACAAACTCCCAAATTGCACATACATATTTTTATCCCAACTTAAACCTCATTAGGTTTGTGTTGAGTGGATCTCCACTGATAGTTATGTTACTATCCTACCTAATATTACACACTGGACTGCTCACCAGCCAGTTGCATGGCAGGTACAGTCTGGACAAACAACCCAACATTCCCATCGGTCAGAGGACGCCAAGAAAAGCCATGCAAGCACAAATTTTAAACCTCTAATAGTAACAATTTACTGACTGTTGCCCCTCGTGATTTAAATGAAGGTAACCCATACATTACTCCACTGGCCGCCACTATTTTCCTTATTTTATGAGCAACACCCCTCTAATCTAGCATAATTTGGAGCAGGGTTTCTCAAATACTTTTCACCAAGCCACACCTCAAAAAATATTTAGCTCTCTAAGTACCACCATAATGGCCCAATTTAAAATACATTTAAAAACAAACAAACTAACAAACAAACAAAACACAACTGCGATTGAGGTTTCGGTCCTAAAAAGTGCATTTACTGTACTTGCTGATGGCAAGCCCATCAGATACATTGAAGAGATGTGCCAAGCTCTCAGGTTCGACATCATGAGAGCTGACCTTACAATTGCTCATTTGAATGAATAACGAAATCTCTCAAACATTACAGCATCTTGTAAAAACTCTTATCAGAACAATGAAAGCTGTTATTGCAAAGATTTCACTTCCTGCAGGTGCAGTGAGTGATGACATGGCTAAATTGTTCTTAGTTTGGAAAGTTTATGTTTCCATCCATCCATTCTTTATATGAACCGCTTTATCCTCACAAGGGTCACAGGCGTGCTGTAGCCTATCCCAGCTGAATTTGGGCAATAACGGAGTACACCCTGAATTGGTTGTCAATCTAATCGAAGGGCACACATTCATGTAGATAAACAGGTCAACCTGTTACACTCACAATCACACTTCAGGACAATTTAGAGTGTTCCATAATGTTTTTGGAATGGTGGGAGGAAACCGGAGTACCTGGACAAAACCCATGAAGGCATGGGGAGAACATGAAGACACCACACAGGAAGGCCGGCTCCCGTAATCGAACCCATGACCTCTGCACTGTGAAGCGGACGTGCTAAACAGTCTGTTACTGTTACCGTGCTGCCTGTTATCAGCTAATGTGCTGTATATCAAGAAAACAGCAGCACTGTACTGACTTTTTTAAATGTTTAAACAAATCTCTTTATCTAATTGCAGGTGCACATGAGGGAAGTGATGTCTGCAGTGTGGTTGCAAGGCTTGGATGCAAGCTACCTGAGAGAACAGGTGCTGAAACTGACTCTTCTTTTGCATTGTGTTGTATAACAGGGGTCCCCAACAACCGGTCCGCGGACCGTTACCGGGCCGCAGGGCATTTGGTACCGGGCCGCACAGAAAGAACTTGCCTTATTTCTGTTTTATTTGTTTCGGAACACGAAATATGTTTTATTTTGAGAAATTACCGGATTCTCTTTTACATCCGTCTGTGTCACGCTTGACTCACGTCAAACCACACTTCTCGGTCACGTGACCAATGACGCTCAAAAACAAAACACTGAAGCCCGCAAAATGAGTAAAAAAGCTGCTTGGAGATCACAAATGACAGCGGCCTTAAAAGTACGTTCGAAACAACTGGATCAAAGTTATGGCTGAATACTCTGAGATTGCCACAATAGCACTGTTGCTATTTCCGACATCCTACCTGTGTGAGGTGGGGAGTTTCTGCAGCAACGGCGACTAAAACAAAATTACGAAGTAGACTGGACATAAACCACACACTTGAGGTGTCATTGTCTCCTATTACCCCGAGATGGGAGTGTCTGATTGCAGAAAATCAAGCTCGGGGCTGTGGTGAGTCGTCATTTTCATGCACTTTGAATTTGCGTTGTTTCGTATTTTGAAGGCATTAAACATTACCAGAGCGATAAGAGTGTTGCGACCAGATTAGACGCTCCTTGTGTTTATTATTATATTTCGAAAACACCACAGTTTTCATGCAGCTCATACCATATTATTTTGTTGTATTAATTCGCCACACCTTAAATGCCGGTCCCTGAAAATATTGTCTGACTTAAACCGGTCCGTGGGGCAAAAAAGGTTGGGGACCCCTGTTGTATAATGTCCACTCTGCACATTCAGTTCATTATAGCTTTAGGTTTTCATGCTGAACAGATATTTCTCGCCAGGCCAGGTTTTAACTTGTGTGCATGTGTCATCATATCCCTTTAGGCCTTGGGGGAGCCGCTGATGAGAGAGGTGATTAGAGAGCACTGTCAGCCAGTGCTTGCGGAGAGTCAGCTACAAGGCGAAGCTCTTCTTGCTGCTTTCAAGCCTCGAGGTTACTCTGAGTGCATTGTTGTTGTCGGCGGAGAGGATCGTAGGTAAGATGTGGAAATTGGTTCAATCGTGACTCCAGAGTGATCACAAAACTTAATTTGTTCAACCATTGTGCTAAAATAAGAGTTGTTGTTTTTCTTTTGTCTAGTATAAAAGCTATAAAAATCGACCTCACGTTGCTTTTAAATTGCCACTTTTAAATCATTGGTACTGACAACAAAGGTAATTATAGAGTAATTCAACATTTTAGTAACATAAAAAAAATTCATGAATTTCAAACAAACTACAATAAAATAAGATAAAATAACGTGGTGTACTACTAAAAAATGGACCCATCTGGAATGATGAATGTACTTTAAAATGTAAACATCATTTTGAAGTTCCGAGGCTATGTACTGCCTTAACATCATTGCTACTTGCAAATATGCATGACCCAGAGATGACATGATAGATTTGTCGGGGGGCTGCTGGATAGTTATTAGCAGCTAAACCGCTAATGTTTATCTGGGCAGGCTGTGCAAACTCTGCTTGCATTTTCATACTTTCCAATTCATCACTTTGGTGCTACATGTTCAAATGATTCATCAGGTTTGTTGTATCGCCTTGTGTTTGATGATATAGCTTGCACAGCAGTTTCCTCCATGTTGCTCTGGAGATAACACCACACAAGCGAAGGGAACCAACATCTCTTGTCAAGATAAAAACCCAATTCCAATGAAGTTGGGACATTGTGTTCATATAAATAAAAACACAGAGTACAATGATTTGCAAGTCATGTCATTAATCATTAAATATATTGTCTTTGTAGTGTATCCAATTAAATATGGGTTGAACATGATTTGTAAAATCATTGTATTGTGTTTATTTATGTTTCATACAATGTCCCAATTTCATTGGAATCGGGTTTGTAACTCCATCTTTGAAAGTTAACGCTAGGTCCGGTAGTCGAGTTTGCATGTTCTCCCCGTGCTTGTGTGGGTTTTCTCCGGGTCCTCCGGTTTCCTCCCGCATTCCAAAAACATACAGTACATGACAGGCTGATTGGACACTCCAAATTGTCCCTAGGTGTGAGTGTGGGCGCGAATGGTTGTTTGTTTCTGTGTGCCCTGCGATTGGCTGGCAACCGATTCAGGGTGTCCCCCGCCTACTGCCCGAAGACAGCTGGGATAGGCTCCAGCACCCCCCGCGACCCTAGTGAGGATCAAGCGGTTCGGAAAATGAATGAATGAATGAATATTCCCCATTCAGTTGTGGAGAAGTAGGGGCCAGTGAACCACGAATCTGACAGGTAATGTCTGCTTTTACAAAGGTGACTAGTTGTAGGCTTTTAATAGCAGGGATTTAAAAAATAAAAATAAAAAATAAAAAGAAAATTGACTTTCTCGTGTGAAAAGAGCTAAATCACAAGCATGATTAAAAAACAAAGCAAAAACGTCTATTTTATACTTTGACTTAAAAACATTCACAGATGGGGCTGACTTCTCTTGTACTGGTGTCCTATTCAATTTGTGTGCAGCATAACAACTAAATGCTGCTTCACCATGTTTGCTTTGAACTCTGGACTCAACTATTTGACCCGAATCTGTGGACCTCACAACTTTGATGCTCTTAATGTTAAAATGAGCGTGTAGTTCCTCTAGATGAGTGCACATTTGTTTGTTTCATACAGGACCAGGAAGCCCACAGCTCTGACTCGCTGCATGTGTCCACTTTATGACACCAATCGACAAGCCTGGATTGAGCTGCAGCCTATGAGCATCGCCCGTATGGGTCATGGGGTGGTCTCTGCTGGTATGTGACAGGGCGACAGGGCATAACAGTGATGCAGAAATTGTCTTTTAACTCAGTTCATTGTTTTTTTCCCCCTCAATTGGGGCTTATAATGATAGGTTAAATCAATACCAGTGATTCTCAACTGGAGGGTTGGGACCCGAAAGTGTATTGTTTTTAATTTTTTAATGTTTTTTTTTTTTTTTTCCCCAGAATACAAGTGTACCAAGTTCCCATGTAGAATATACAATGTTTTATAAGCATCAGGAAATGTTACTCACTTGCACTCTGGTCACTAGCTACTCAGAAAAAAAACAAAAAAAAATCAATGCAGCTCATGGCTAGTGAATGTCATAGCTCATAAAATATTTTTATGCAGTATGTCCAACTAATTTTAAATTGTCTTTAAAAATGTAAGTTACGGTACATGTATTTTTTAGAAGCTACTTGGACATACACACAAAAAAAATGATTCATTGTTCTCAACTTTAATAAAAGTGGGTCATGACTTTGCAAGAACAGGATGATGTGGGTCCCAGGGTGACAGCAGTTCACAACCACTGGTCTAAACTGTACAAATAAGTACTGTAATACATTTTGAATAATGTTGAATTTCCTGTGTTTTAGAGGGATTTCTATTTGTGGTGGGTGGGAGAGACGAGAACAACATAGTCTTGGACACTGGTGAGAAGTATGACCCAGAGTCCAATACATGGAGTCCCATCCCCTCAATGTTACAGGTATGCTGACCAATTCATGCATTTTCAAATGCATGAATTGCAATCTTGTCTTTTCACTTAAGTCGAGGTTAAATAGTACGAACGTTTGATATCAGGATTATCATGACCAAAATGATCACAGCTATCTATATAATCATATTTTATTAAACACTGGCTGTTTCATGGTCATTTCGTCAGTGGAAGCAAGTCTGTCAACTGGTTACAATAGGTAAACATTGAATTTGATTCAGTTCCTTTCTATTAAAAAGGTCATCTATATTTAGGTTGAAACATGCAAAACTATTGAAATAATTTGCATTGCATTTTAGGGTGCACAAAATAGTAATGATTAATTGGTGTTTGCATTATGAGGACGTCTTTGTAAAAAAAAAAGAATCCTTGTAAGGGGTCCCAGGACCCGAAAGGTTTGGAAACCCCTGATATTCCAGCAGGCTTCAACACACCAACAATAGCAGAGTGCTCTCTCGATGCACAACTTGACCATATTATCCTTGTTTGCGAATGAAGAGAAGATGCGAGCATTTTTAACCCAAGGCATATCTTTTAAATCAACAACCTAGGTTGTTTACATGCAAACTTAGGTTATGTCACCATAATGATTTTTGAGCGCGGTGCCATCATATCAAGAACTAACTCATCATCCCTTTGCTATGTTATCTGCCGATGCTATTGCTAGTTTTGGTTTGCCATTTGATTGCGTATGACAAGTTAAATAAAAGTGTTAAATAATAACCAATTATAATCAATGCAAATGGTTCGGACAATGAGCGATGGATTACTTAAAAATATCAATAGATTCAACTAAATATCAGGTTTTATCGGTTAACCGTTTCATCACGACGCACAATTTGTATTTCACCTTTTGTTTATGTATCGTGATCTGATGGAATCACAACTTGCACACCACTAGTTGCCCTGGAGACATTTCAAGGCTTGAGATTTTTATGACCATCACCACTCGGCAGGGCTCAGAGGTTGAAGAGGACACATCGAACTCACCCTTCACCTTCTTCTCAATTAAACACCTGTAAAGTGTCATGACTACAGCTTATGCTTTATGATGTTGCCCTGGTGACAATATCTGTCACTCGACAGATGTGTAAACACCCGCCAGACTGCTCAGCGCCAGTTCTGTAGCAGTTCCTGCTTGAGTAGATGCATCCAAGTAGATGCACCCACGACCGTATTTTATTAAAGGTGACACGCACAAAAGATGAAAAAAAATACCAGCCAGTTTGTTGTCGAGCTAGTGTTTTGATCTTCTCTATTTTATGTTTTCAAAATATGATAGCATGCATTTGCATGATCGTTTGTACATTTGCTGACTTTTGTTTAGCTCCAAATTGTAATTATTCGTACAAGGCATGTTTTACAGCCTCGTATGCCTTTAAAGTTAAAGGTTATTTCCACATTCCCTGGAATATAGTTTTGTTTAACGAGCTGAGTGAATTATTTTTGTTTTCCACACTCTTGAATTCCATCGAAAATATGACTGTTGGACATGCTCCAGCATCGCCGACGAGCACTGAATAATGTCGTGACACTGATTTGTGCAGACTCGGCAGAACTTTGGCGTGGTGGAGCTGGATGGTCTCGTTTATATTCTTGGTGGGGAGAATGCAGAAAGTGAACTGACCACGGTAGAAGTGTTTGATCCTCACGTCAAAACCTGGAAGATGCAGACCAGTATGACCATGATCCGCAAGGTAACACATCCTATAAACGGTCAAGTAGAATAAGTGCGGAAATGTGACTGCGCAGGACATAAAAGTTGCCTGTCACTGGACCCTACGTGACGCTACCAACAAAATCAAATTGCATTTTCCCTGAGAACAGTTCTGCTGCCCAGTGTTGTCATGACTTTTACTAACGTTTCAGACTCATGCAAGGATTTATTTTCCCCAAAGAAGTACCAAAGGTAGATACTTTCAGTTCAAGAGTGTTGCTCTAGAGCTGCATATCAAGTGTGAGGTTTTTCTCCCTCTCCCAGTCTCCTTTGTTGAGTGACAAGACTGCTATAGTGGGCATGCCGTCACTTTGGTCGTGCACTTTGAGATGAAATACATCTCAGTTTCAGTAGAGCCGCAGCAACCATGACACTGGCTTCAAAATTTTTTATTTTGGAAATTTTATTTTTTGGACCGTTAGGCACACTGTATTAGCAGGTGCAATATCAATGAATAACTCTATTTTTATACTTTTTCTTACGTAAGGCTCACCGGGTTATAAGGTGCATTATCTTTGGGAAGTTTATTTGATAGATTCAGTGCTATTATGCTTGATTCAGAACGAGCACAAGATATCTGCTCGCACCGCGTGTCTTGCTTGCTTTTGTTTGTCGTGCAACAACACGGGATTGCTTCCAGCGGAGAAAAGGAGGGGATCCTTCGACAGACTGAAAACAAAGTTTGAACATCGCTAGTCAATCCGGTAGCCAGTGGTTGTATTACTTTGGCTAATGCTAAATACTATCTTGTTTGACAGTTTAACGGCTGTAAACAAGTTAATGCACTCACCATTATCCAAGCTTTTTTGCCCATCCTCGGCAGCAATTGGAAGCTGGCTGTGTCGTTTACCTCACACCGGCCTTACATTGTAACATTGGCTACGTGCAGCCATAAATGCCTAGTTTGCTTTTGGTCTGACCATAGCATTATACAATTAGGACTACACGGTGATCCTTTGACAGAGAAGCAGGAAGTAGTTTTATTTCCGGTAAGATGACAACATAGACGCCTACTTGCGGTCAAATGTGGATGAGAATCAGAATGTGAATTTAATAGGAAGGAATTTGAATTCAATACGACAAACTGAAAAGCCGACATCCATCCATACACAAGGGACACTGCATTACAAGGTACAGTGTTGATTTCTTTGTTGTTTTTTGTTTGAGCAAACGGAAGGATTTTACCACGTTCATCCACCCTGTAACCTGATAACATGATGAGCTGTCCACTATTGAACAAACACACACACACACACACACACACACACACACACACACACACATACACACACACACACACACACACACATCCTCGTATAACCGGGATTGTAGCAGATTACAATTCTCCAGTCACATCCAATCTCATGTTAAATGCGACTCGGTGCACACCTGCCATTATTTAAAGTGCCTCTTATTAACCCCAAATAAATTTAATCTGTTCTGAGGGCTTTTCCCATCATTTTTTTGTAGTCGCATCTGACAGCACAAGCCATGGTCTGCAGGAGCCTCCAAAGCATCTCATTGTTCAAAGGTATCAGTCAGGTGAGGGGTACAAAAATAAAATAGATAAGATGAGAAGAAAAGTGGGCAGGGAGGCCACCAAGAGACTGACAGCAACATTTGAGAGCGCATGCCAAATGTTTAGTCCATTTGACAACAGTCTCCAGTCTTCTTCAGTCTGGGAACGGTGGACTTTGGTTGCTTCTCTTATGAAGAAAAAAAAACACTTGAAGTCTCCAAAACTCGAGGAAAATGGATTTAAGGGGAAGTCAAGTCAAAAAACACTCTTCAATCTATGATAATGTTCTGTGCAGCCCCACAGTCTGTTTTTTGTTTTTTTTTTCATTGGGATTGTGCAGGGGTCGGCAACCCAAAATGTTGAAAGAGCCATATTGGACCAAAATAAACAAATATGTCTGGAGCCGCAAAAAATAAAAAGCCTTATAATGAAGGCAAAACATGCTGTATGTATCTACTGTATATGAGCTATATTAGCCTGCTATCAACATGACTAAATCGGCTACAAATACACAACGACTATTCATGATTAAAAGTGTTTTTTTTCCCTGCAGTTCATCCTTTAGAGGAGGGGTGCCCAAACTTTTTTGACTGAAGATCTACTTTTCAAACAACCAACCTCCCGCGATCGAACCGTTACCGCACACGCGCGCGCATACGCACACACTTACACACGCATGCCGTAATGATCAACAGCCATAACAACCGATAAGATGAACGAGGCACGGGACAGGACGCACTTTCACAGCGTGCTAACTATCGTAGCTCACGTGTACCGTTTAAAAATGCTTCTCTTGGCCGCCCAGATTCCCATTCTTAGTCAGTACCCTCGGTGAATTGCACATGAAAGGCAGCAATTTTTTTTTTTTTTAAGTCCGCAAACGGTCCGCTAGAAGCTGCAAAACAACAGCGAGTCACATAGATCAACATATACAGTACTGTACTCCATGTATATTAAAAAAAAAATAAATAATATATATATATTTTATATGTTTGAAAAAATCTGCGATGCACTGAACCTGCGATAAACGAACTGCGAAGTAGCGAGGGATCACTGTATTTGACACATTTTCATAGCATTTTACAGCAACGTTAATGTTTGTGTCATGTTTGTCCTCTGACAGAAACCATATTAAAACAAAAAACTACATTTCCCTCCCATCGTTTTTCCATTTTCAAACATTTTTGAAAAAGCTCTAGGGGCTACTGGGGGGCGCTAAAGAGCCACATGTGGCTCGAGTGCCGCGTGTTGCCAACCCCCGGGATAGTGATTACTATTGCGGTTGTGGGAAATTAATTAAGCAGCAAAATCCCCCCGTTTTTATCCATCTCAGGGGGTGGCCATTTTGCCACTAGCTGTTAACTGCAAGGTGGCCCGGTGGTCCAGTGGTTAGCACGTCTACCTCACAGAGGTCGTGGGTTCGATCCCGGCTCCGGCATTCCTGTGTGGAGTTTGCATGTTATCCCCAGGCCTGCAAGGCTTTTCTCCGGGTATTCCAGTTTCCTCCCACATCCCAAAAACATGCATGGCAGCCTGATTGAACATTCTAAATTGTCCCTTGGTGTGAGTGTGAGCGCGGATGGTTCTTCGTCTCTGTGTGCCCTGCGATTGGCTGGCAAACGGTTCAGGGTGTCCCCCGCCTACTGCCCGAAGACAGCTGGAATAGGCTCCAGCACCCCCCGCAACCCTTGTGAGGATAAAGCGGTTTGGAAAATGGATGGCTGGACGGACGTTAACTGCAAATTACATAACAGTGCCTATCAGGCATGTCTCATGACCAAACCCAGACAACAGGTGAGCTGTGATTGATTGATACCTGTTACACCTCCACTACATAAGGTATTTTCAGTCTTATTTTCCATGGGTTTCTATGACATTCACAAGTCCTAGGGACACTCCATATTCCAGAATTTACATTCAGCCGCAGACTGCAGTGAGTTGTGCCTCTTGAGTGGTTGCTCCAAATGACCAGGTTACACACGGTGGATGGATTAGAGGTGGTGCTGAAATTTTCAGCTCTTCAGGAATTTTCTTTGATCTTGTGGCTTTGTGTTTGCTCTGATATGGCACCAGCAACCTGTCAGACCAAATAATGAATATACTGTAAATCTGATCTCCCACGCTCCTTCCCCAGGTGGGTTGCTATGCCTCCATGAATAAGAAGATCTATGCCATGGGTGGCGGTTCCTACGGGAAACTTTTCGACTCAGTTGAATCCTTTGACCCCAAAACCCAGCAGTGGACAGGCCTCTGTCCGCTCAAGGAGAGAAGGTAATCATATAGTTTTGCATCTACCAGGCTTGTGATAAATGAAGGAGGCTTTTTTATTACCGGTACATTTACTGATGCAAACACTTGCCGTTGAGATTGTTTCTTTCACCTTACCTTCATTGTTGTAATAGATTCATTTGTCTTAATTTGTTTCGAGTGTTTTCAATTTCGAAAAAGAATACACGGTTGACTGAGACTGTCTGACCTTCTGTGTTTCGGTATTGCACAACAAGAATCGAAACGTCTTTGTGGTCATTGTCATGACACCTACAGATTCAGTTTTAGTTTCAGTTTGACTTGTTTTCGAGCTCTGCTTCATGCTTTAAACTTGCACTGAATGATGGAGCAATAGTTATGACAGTTTTTTAGTCAGAATGTGTACCTTGATTAAATCTCTTGACAAATAAATGTGCCGTGTTGCATGAACTTAGCCATGCAGCACCACAGCTGAAACTGAGCTTTTTTTCACTGGCATAGTTTTCATTCAAAGGAGACATGCATTTTTGTCACAAGGATATTTTGGTCCCATGCTTTTTGTCAAATGTTTTGTCTTCCTCAAAGAAGCCAATTTACGAGTACCTTTCTAATGCAAGTAGCCGACTCTCATCCCGCCCCACGTACGTCTGGGCCAATAGCAAGTTTGGATTTTACACTTTGAAAACCAAGGGCAGAGCGAGATGTGACTGCATTTAGAACTCCAAATCAAAAAAAAAAAGCAAGTGCAAACCGTGAAGCACATGCAGGCAAGCAAATGACATTTTTCAAATCTAATGTGGATTGTGTAGCCAATGCGTCATGCAGACAGACGGGCAAACACATTTTCCCCCACCACTTTGATAACGTCACATAAAACTCAACAAAGACTTACTTTTTGGTGACTTCGATGGACACTGCACAGCGTACTCATGAAGTGATCGGCAATCAAAATTTGGTGTGATTGGATTTTCACTGATGGATGCAGAGCATTTCATCTCCAAATAGTCATAGGTCTTGCTTCTAAACCATGTGCTGTATATGATGATGACTCTTAAGTTGATAAGACATCCACCCCTTTCTGGTTAGGTTTGGATCTGTGGCTTGTGGCGTCGGTAAGGAGCTCTACGTGTTTGGCGGTGTGAGAAGTCAAGAGAACGACAACCCGGAGCAACGTCACATGATGACCTGCAAGTCTGAATTCTACCATGATGAAATGAGGAGGTTTGTATCTGCAGGCTTCTCTTCCGCATCCAACAACAGTATTAGGGATTCATTTTCTGAGGGAGGACGCTACTCAAGTCAGTAAGTGTCTTTTAATTCATTTCAGCTTGCAACTAAAGGCAATCTGTTGTTTTTATCGTCTTGTCTATAAGTCAGCAGGTCTTGACCTGAAGGCTTTTAAATATTGGTTTATTGGTGGTTTATATTTTTTTCATGAATTATTATATTTTTCAGTAAAGCAACGCGCTTTCGTATGTATGTGAAATATTTTTAAATTAACCTTTTGGAAAAAACTTCAGGGTTCCCACGGATCCTTAAAGTTCATAAAAGTCCTTAAAAAGTAGTTTTTAAAATTATGTTCTTAATTGTCCTTAATTTTCAGGGAAAGCTTCTAAAAGCAATAAAAATCCTTAGAAATTAACCTGTGGTGTTCATTTCATTTGTGTATGTCATTTTCCCCACCCTTCCAATAAATAGTTTTGTCGGAAAATGTGTGTGCAGGTGACCCATATGACCATTAGCTCTGTTCTTAATGTTCTGTTTATTCGAAAATAAATTGAAGTTTTATATTTTCTAAATTAAAATTTTTCTTAGAGTACTTTATTTGAGAATGAATTCAAGTTTTTTTATTTTCCTACCTGTGATACAGGTAGGGAAATGAAAATTTGACATACAGTATGTCAAATAAAGGGTTAGCTGATTGCCCCGAAAAATAAAGATGTGCCCTTCCTTTGGCAGCAATGATTTGAACACCAGCTCAGTGATATGTGGCTTTCTGTTCAGCCCGCATATTGCTGAGCAGGCATTAAATCCACCATGAATCCCCTACTGAATGGAGAAAAAGTCCTTAAAAAGTGGCTAAATTAGCCCTCAAAAGTCATTAAAAGGACCATAAATAAAAAGCAAGTGGAAGAGTGGGAACCCTGTACTTTCTTTGCAAAAAATGGTAGCTAAAAGGCTCCAGCCCTCTGAGCAGTAAAAAAAGATGAAAAAAAGAAGTTTTGTCCCCGCAATACACTTTAAGGTAGTGTGTAACGAAATTAGGTTTGCAGCTGTTCGATCCGTTGTATAATCATGTACAATGATACATCCAGCCATGCATTTTTCGAAGCCACTGTTCCCCATTAGGTTTGTGGTTGGACCCTGGACTAGTTGCTAGCAAATCGCAGGGCAATACATGATAAAATATTTAAAAATTAAAAAGTAAGTGCTTTCACAAATATAGTTTCAGCATCCCTGGGTCCGTTGAAAGGCAATATATTAATATTTCTTCTTATCATTAAAAATACAGCTGGATCCCGGTGGGGGCGCTGGTGGGTAAGATGAGTGTTGCTGTGATTTCACCAAAGAGAAAAAAGAAGCAGCTGTGTTCCTCTGCGAGTGACACACTCTGCTCCCTTGCTGTTACGTCATCGCTTCTGTAATTCGTGATGTTTTGTAAAGCTTGCCACACTGGCCGTGATCGATGACACTCGAGTCTCCTCTTGTACTTGTTCATGTCCCTGTGGTGCCATTTTATTCTTCTTTGTTGGATGATTGCTGTCTTCACTCTGTCCCATGGTGCATTTAATGCCTTGGAAATTCTTGTGTAATCTTGTCCTTACTGATTCCATTGAACAATGAGATCCTTGAGATGTTGCATAAGGTCTCTGGCGCTGGATCATGGCTAGTGCTGTAAGATGTGACAACAAAATGTCAGAAGAAAAAAACAACTATGAGAGCAGCTGGACTTGATTGTGACCAGTGTGATGATGTGGTTTTGTGCAGGTGGATGTTCTTAGATGACCAAAACTTGTGTATCCAGACCAGCTCATCATTCGTGTACGGTGCTGTTCCCATCGGAGGCAGCATCTACGTGGTTGGAGACTTGGATACCGGTCAGTGGAACACAAACACGATGAACTGGATGCTTGGAAGCAACTTTGAGATGAATCATCTGAGCGCGTTACCTGTTGCGGGCACACAGGTACCAGTTTTGACTACATCCGCGAGTTCCGTCGCAGCACGGGGACCTGGCATCGTACCAAGCCCATGTTACCCAGCGACCTCTCCAAAACAACCTGCGCTGCACTTCGGATCGCCAACTGTCGTCTGTTCCGCCTTCAGTTGAGCCAAGGCATGTTTCGAATCAGAGTCTGAATTGAGAAAGAACAAATGGGCCGCAGCTGTATGTCTCTCTCTGACTTTTGCACACTTGTAACGTCCAACCGCATACGACATGCTTGGGTTAAGGCAGGGGTGCCCAAACTTTTTGGACCGAAGATCTACTTTTCGTTCACCCAACCTCCCGGGATCGCCCCTTACCGCGCACGCGCACGCACGCACACACGGTCACACACACACACACACACACACACACACGCACACACACACGCACACACACACACACACACACACACACACACACACACACACACACACACACGCGGATGAAAACACAAAGGTAAAGACTAGTCATTTTACTAGACACTTTTGCAGCCTCTTGACTATCGTAGCTCACATGTACCGTTTTAAAGTGCTTCCCTCAGCCCTCTAGATTCCTATTCTTTGCCCGTGCCCTCGGTGAATTGTACACAAAGCAAACTCTGAATGAGAATAATGACGATCAAAGATATAGCGCAACAGCTCTGATCACAAGCTGCAATTGCAGACTGCTGAGCGCTAACAACTTCCGCTGACATAGTCACGCGCCACCGTAGGTTAAAGATTTACCTGCTTTATTTTATTTTATTTTTAAAATCTTTCTTTGGGAAAATGAGGCTGATAGGATGATTAGGGTGCAGTGTGCATTAACACAAAAAATATATTACTAACATGTACAAAGACACACAAATGTTTTTATTTTCTTTCTCCTCTACACCTTTCGGATCTAATTGGGACGAGTCCTAGATCTACCGGTAGATCAGGATCAACGTAATGGGCACCCCTGGGTTCAGGGAATTGATAAACACTGAAGTATTTAAGTAGCTAAATATGCTTGTTGTGGTTGTTTTCGGGGAGACTTTTATTTTTTGCTGTGTACTGTATATGCTGCCTAACTTTTTGTGGGAAGGATTTATTAATGAAAAATGTTTACTTTTTTGGCTGATGTGATATGGAACTATTTGACCATTCGATTTGATATTTTTTTAACAGCCTGTAATTAATCCTTGCTTTGATTGTATTTATTTTTCCTGGAGGTCTACTGCTAAATGGAAGAAATAGCAGTCGGGAATATTTACGAGGAAAAGATCTAACATGATCATATATATAATTTTTTTTCAAACACTGGTTTTATGGGCCATTGATCATTGATTACATACTTTGGACATCTGGAAGAATGGAGAAAAGACAAAATTGGTTACAAAGACACGAGTTTGTCAACATGGGGGAATTCCTAATTACGGGAACAATGTTTGACATGCAGTTTGTGATGCACTTCTGAGAGGAACCATCATTTTCAGAACATTGCATTGTTCAATGCTAAATGCTTTTCTCAGAACTTGTGTTTTCTGCAATGTTAGCTGCTCTTTGTCTTAGTCGTTTGGTTAAATCTTGTGAATTGGCTCCAGTCGGAAATGTGGGAATGCAACATGTTCACTGTGAACAAAAAGGAATCTTTTGGGGGATTTCTGAGCCACCAATTGGCATAATGTCATCCTTCATTCGTAAAAAAATACTAAGTGGAAAAAGGTTGTTCTGGGTACCGCAGTGGGCTATTTGTTAACATGTCTTCCTCGGTTGAAAGGTTCTGTGTTTGAATCGCGTCGCAGGTCTTCCTTTGCATATTCTCACCATGTTTGTGGGTTTTTGTTTGGGGGGCTTCCTCCTCCAAAAGCATGTTTTGGTGGTTAATTGAAGAATTGTGTATGGGCATGAATAGGAATGTGAAAGCTGTCTACCGTAGACTTGCCGACAACCCAAATGCGATCATATTGACGATGGATGGATGAGAAAGGTTGCGTCCACTTTAAATGGCAGCATACCAGTATCACGAACAAATGCAGAAATGTGCATGCAGAGCCCTTTCATTTCGCTGCTGTCTTTCTTCTACTTTTTATTATATCCAAATTATGACTGAATGTACATACATAAGAGTATGCACAAATACTTGACTGTATTTTGTCAAAGAATACATCTCGTAGCCCTGATGGAACCAAAATAGACTTTGCCAAAAGTGCATCTTGAGTTGTTGGGCTGGAATTTTTTTTTTTTTTTTGCCTTGGTGTGACCTCTGACCCACCATTCCACTTGGTAAAATCGTACCCCGTTTGTTTTCTGTAACTTTCAGCTGTTACTGTCTGACCTCATGTCAAGGTCACGCATGTAAAAAGTGGGCTCACTCTCGGTGAGAGTTCACGCTGCAATGGAAACGTGATATCGTTTAAAAGGACGACGGTACAACTCCCACTCGGAGAGACATCAAAGAGGTAAAAGGCAAGGGTTGTGTCATTTAAAACTTTTTCATTCTGGTGAACATTAGCAGTATTGTACAAACCAGGCGGGTGGGAACCGCCTTATGTTGTATTCATCGTAAATCTCCTTTTTTCTGTCACGTTTCCACTTTTCTTAACCATAGATTCCTGTTTATTGCCAGATTTATACTCCTGATTCCTCAACTCGCCAACCGATATAAATTTGGATTACCGCTTCAGTGAAAGTCGTGCGTCAAACTTAATTCCGGATTACATCACTTACTACATTTTAGTGCCATAATTTGAAGCAGTTAACTCCCTTTGGAGACATCGTAACCCTTTTTTTTTCTACATTTGCAGTGTACGTCCTTGAGAACGCACTGAAAAAAAAAAAGAATCTCCCAAGAAATTTTCAGTGCAGCTGAGCTCCCGGGGGTGCTGTTCTTATTTCCATTCCTTTATGAGTGCGCTTCCAGTAAAGCCGTTCAGCAAGTCCTTTCATACGCTCTTCACCGTTGATGGTTCCTTCTGTTAATGATTCATTTCCTCTATTAATGTTGTAAACAACATGACGTGTGTTAGAATTATGACTGGTGAATAGAGGACACTGCAATAGCTTGTTAATGTTCTGTCTCACCTGCTGGGTTGAATCACTCACTGTAACTGCAGTGACTTACTGTACTGTTCTCCTATATCGGCACATAATTATACGGCACAATAGTAGAAGTCTAATCTAATAATGATCTTTTAATCTGAATTATTGTAAGGATTTGGGGGCAAAAACATATTTGGCTGTTCAACATGTATGAACGATGTTTTGTAAATTATGGCCTGTGATTGATCTCAAGGGAATTAAAGCACCAAAAAGATTTTAAAAATTGGAATCCCTGCTACCTTTGAGTCTTTTTGGATGACTTTGGATCTATGGATCATTGTTTGCCTTATCATGCTACCTCTCAGATGCAAAGTGACACGCATACACGTCAGATTATATCTCTCAGTGGTTTTTACAATGCAAATTGCTCGCTCCCATCAGGCTGATGATGGAGTTGCTTCCTCGAATGTTAGCCTTTATTAGTCTTTCTCAATCTAAAAATATCAACGTTGTATGGACTAAGTTTTTGGTCCCCATCTTTTCATGAAAGAAGACTTCACAGTGGTCACAGAAATAAGAAATTGAGCCAAAATTGCTTTGGAACAGTGGTTCAACAGAATTAATTGAAAAAAAAAACAAACAAACTCATGAAATAGGTGTGGATACAAAAAATGGTACCTCTCGAAAAGACTGAAAATAATTCAACCAAATGGACATGTTCAACTAAGGTGTGTCCTCCAATTGGCGTCACGGCTGTCTTCAAAATTGTTGTCAGTCAGTCAGGGTGACAAGTAATCACTGTGCTGTTTGATGTGTACAACACTAAACATGGACCATGGAGGAAGTGAAGGAGTCAGTTGTCTCACAAGATTAGAAAAGAAATTACAGACAAGCACGTTAAAAGTAAACGCTATAAAACCATCGCCAAGCAGCTTGGTCCTTCTGCAACTACATTTTATATTCTTATATTGTTTGACACATGTTTAGATCCATGGAATTTGAGATCCATGGAACTGTTAAATGGTAACAAAAGAGCCCAGAACAATCTCCCAAAGACTTTAAAGGTGAACTCCAAGGTCAAGGTACATCAGTGTGATATTGTTGGAGCAAAAATGGACTTTGTGTGAGGCTTCTAAGGATGCCAGGGTTGTAAATACATCATTGAAATAAATGCCAAACTGCATGTTGACAAAGGTACAAATCTTCTGGAAGAATGTCCTGTGGAGAGCTGAGAAGAAAAAAAATTGAACTTTTTGGCAAGGAAAATCACCTCTGTGTTCACAGATGTAAAAAGTGAAGTGTATACCAAGAAAACAAAATACTAAATTAAAAGTACCCTCAGTTTGTCCATGAGCTTGTTTTTCTTCAATCTTTTGTTGAGCCACAATTCAAAAGCGTTGTCTGATTTTCATTGGTTAGTTTTCAATACGGCGGCCCGGTAATTGAGTGGTTCGCGCGTCGACCTCACAGTGCAGAGGTCCCGGGGTTCAATTCCTGCTGCGGCCTCCCTGCGTGGAGTTTGCATGTTCTCCCCGGGCCTGTGTGGATTTTCTCCGGGTTCTCCGGTTTCCTCCCGCATTTCAAATACATGCATGGCAGGCTGATTGATTGTTCACACTAAATTGTCCCTAGGTGTGAGTGTGAGCGTGGATGGTTGTTCGTCTCTGTGTGCCCTTCAATTGGCTGGCAACCGGTCCAGGGTGTCCCCCACCTACTGCCCGAAGACGGCTGGGATAGGCTCCAGCACCCCCCGCGACCCTTGTGAGGGTAAAGCGGAACAGAAAATGGATGCATGGAAAGTTTTTAATACATTTGTATTTATTTTTACCTTTGTCAGATTCAAGTTATTTATGTGACAACGGTGGGTTTTTCTTTTATGAACGGAGGGTTGCCAACAATTTAGCACACGTGTGTAGTTTTGGGGAAGAGAGAGTACTCATCATCATCATCACAAATGTTTAACACGGAACTATAAATGAACATCGCTAGATTTTTCTTGCCGTATTTTGTCTTCCAATATTAAGTGTACATTACATTACATGCATCCATCCATCCATTCATCCATTTTCAAAACCGCTTATTCTTAACAGGGTCACGGGGAGTTGCTAGAGCCCAGCTGACTTCGGGCGGTAGGCAGACTACACCCTGAACTGGTCGCCAATCAGTAGCAGGGCACATTTCGAGACGAACACCCATTCACACCCACATCCACACAGTCACTGAGTGGAAACCGATCCC